GTGAATTTTAAAAATTCATTTAGGAGATGAGATTAAATATATCCTGTAGTGGGAGTAATAATAATTCAAGGAGCAGAGACAAAGATTAATGCAGAATTAGAATCTTAACTCATGTGCTTTTAATAGCCCATTTGATTTGCCTCAACTTTAAAAAGCCAATGAAGCAAGCCACCTAGAAACAAATTCTAAATCCACTCCCTCCCCTTTTTGGGGTTGAAAGAATAGAAGTTTATTTTCTCACTGTTCTGGAGGCTAAAAGTCCAAATCAGGGTCTTTATTGATTCATTCTGTGAGCCTCTTTCCTAGTTTCTGGTGGCTGCTGGCAATTCTTGGCATTCCTCAATCCCCTCTCCTCTTTAATGTAAGAGCTTTCAGAAAGTAAGAGTTGTCCAACAATAGAACAAACTATCTTGTGAGATTACAAGATTTCAAACTAAAGCTAAAAGATTATCTATGTAGAATTCTTAAAAGGATTCCTGCATTGAAAGCTGGATTAAAAGACTTCTAAAATCCTTTAAATTCTAAGATTCGATGACTCCAATATTGCCTTTCTCTCCCACTTTCTCACTGCTATCGAGTCAGTTCATAGCAAATTATGGATAACATTGCAGAGAATGGGAATTCTAGAACACTTAATTGTGCTCATGAGGAATCTGTACATGGATCAAGAGGCAGTCGTTCGAACAGAACAAGGGGATGCTGCATGGTTTAGAATCGGGAAAAGTGTGCATCAGGGTTGTATCCTCTCACCATACTTATTCAATATGTATGTTGAGCAAATAATCCAAGGAGCTGGACTATATGAAGAAGAACAGGGCATCAGGATTGAAGGAAGACTCATTAACAACCTGCGTTATGCAGTTGACACAATTGCTTCCTGAAAGTGAAGAGGACTGGAAGCAATTACTGATGAGGACCAAAGACCACAAGCCTCAACATAAGGAAAAGAAAAATCCTCACAACTGGATCAATAAGCAACATCATGATAAATGGAGAAAAGATTGAAGTTGTCAAGGATTTCATTTTACTTGGATCCACAATCAATACCCATGGAAGCAGGAGTCATGAAATCAAATGACATACTGCATTGGGCAAACCTACTGCAAAAGACCTCTTTAAAGTGTTAAGCTGAGATGTCACTTTGAGGACTAAGGTGCACCTGACCCAAGCCATGGTATTTTCAATCGCCTCATATGTATGGCAACGTTTTGTCTCATGTACTTTGGACTTGTTAACAGGAGGGATCAGTCCTTGGAGAAGGACATCATGCTTGGTAAATAAAGTAGAGGGTCAGCGAAAAAGAGGAAGACCCTCAACGAGATGGACTGACACAATGGCTGCAACAATGGGCTCAAACATAGCAACAATTGTGAGGATGGCACAGGACTGGGCAGTGTTTCATTTTGTTGTCACTATGACTCAGAACCAACTTGATGGCACCTAACAACAACAACATATGCATGCGAAAGCTGGACAATGAATAAGGAAGACCAAAGAAGAAATTATGCATCTGAATTATGGTGTTGGCAAAGAATACTGGATATACCATGGATTGCCAGAAGAATGAACAAATCTATCTTGGAAGAAGTACAGCCAGAATGTTCCTTAGAAGCGAGGATGGTGAGACTTTGTCTTACGTATTTTGGACATGTTATCAGGAGGGACCAGTCCCTGGAGAAGGACATCATGCTTGGTAAAGTAGAGGGTCAGTGAAAAAGAGGAAGTCCGACAACGAGATGGATTGACACAGTGGCTGCAACAATGGGCTCCAACACAGCAATGATTGTGAGGATGGCACAGGACTGGGCAGTGTTTTGTTCTGTTGTATATAGGGTTGCTATGAGTTGGAACTGACTCAACAGTACCTAACAACAATAACAACATCCTATTTTTATAGAATACGGGTCCTTTCATATGTGTCTATATAGCCACAGACTGCCTTGCGTCATTATAGATTTGATGCATTGAACACTAATGACTGAAGACCAGACGAGTTGCGGAATGACATCAAGGACATCATACATGAAGAAAGCAAGAGGTCATTAAAAAGACATGAAAGAAAGAAAAGACCAAAATGGATATCAGAAGAGACTCTGAAACTTGCTCTTGAATGTTGAGTAGTTAAAGCAAAAGGAAGAAATGATGAAGTAAAAGAACTGAACAGAAGATTTCAAAGGGCAGCTCAAGAAGACAAAGTAAAGTATTATAATGACATGTGTAAAGAGCTGGAGCTAGAAAACCAAAAGGGAAGAAAACTCTCGGCATTCCTCAAGCTGAAAGAACTGAAGAAAAAATTCAAGCCTCGAGTTGCAATAGTGAAGGATTCTATGGGGAAAATATTAAATGACGCAGGAAACATCTAAAGAAGATGGAAGGAATACACAGAGTCACTCTATCAGAATTGGTCAACGTTCAAGCATTTCAGGAGGTAGCATGTGATCAAGAACTGCAGGTACTGAAGGAAGACATCCAAGCCATGGTGAAGGCCTTGGCAAAAAACAAGGCTCCAGGAATTGATGGGATACCAACTGAGATGTTTCAACAAACAAGGCGATGCTGGAAATGCTCACGTATCTATGCCAAGAAATTTGGAAGACAGCTAGCTGGCCAACCGACCAGAAGAGATCCATATTTGTGCCCATTCCAAAGAAAGGTGATCCAATGGAATGGGGAAATTATTGAACAATATCATTAATATCACACTCAAGTAAACCTTTGCTGAAGATAATTCAAAAACAGCTGCAGCTGTACATTGATAGGGAACTGCCAGAAGTTCCAGCTGGATTCAGAAGATTTAAGGGATGATTCAAGGGATACCATGGCTGATGTCAGTTGGATTTTGGCCAAAACCAGAGAATACCAGAAAGATGCTTACCTGTGTTTTGTCGACTACGGGAAGGTATTTGACTGTATGGATCATGACAAATTACAGATAACATTGCAAAGAATGGGAATTCCAGAACACTTAATTGTGCTCACGTGGAACCCGTACCTAGACCAAGAGGCAGTCGTTTGAATAGAACAAGGATATGCGTGGTTTAAAACTGGAAAAGGTGTGTGGCAGGATGGTATTCTTTCACCTTACTTATTGAATCTATGTGCTGAATAAATAATCTGAGAAGCTGGACTCTATGAAGAAGAATGCGGCATCGGGATTGGAGAAAGACTCATTAACAACCTGTGATATGCAGGTGACAGACACAACCTTGCTTGCCGAATGCGACGACGACCTGAAGCACTTACTGATGAAAGTTTAACAGACTACAGCCTTCAGTGTGGATTACACCTCAACATAATGAAAACAAAACTCCTTACAACTGGGTCAATAAGCAACATCATATTGATAAATGACGAAGAAACTGAGTTGTCAAGGATTTCACCCTTCTTGGTTCAACAATCAATGCCCATGGAAGCAGCAGTCAAGAAATAAAAGAAATTCATTGGACAAATCTGCTGTAAAAGACCTCTTTAAAGTATTAAAAAGCAAAGATGCCACTTCGAGGATTAACATGCACCTGACTGAAACCATGGTATTTTCAAATGCCTCATATGCATGCAAAAGATGAACAATGAAAAAGGAAGACAGAAGAAGAACTGATGCATTCAAATTGTGATGTTGGCAAAGAATATTGAATATACCACAGACTGCCAGAAGAACAAACAAATCTGTCTTGGAAGAAGTACAGCCAGAATGCTCCTTAGAAGCAAGGACGGTGTTATGCATTGAATTGTGTCCCCTAAAAATATGTATCAACTTGGCTAGGCCATGATTCCCAGTATTATGTAGTTGTCCTGCATTTTGTGATCTGATGTAATTTTCCTATGTGTTATAAATCCTAATCTCTGCCTATGGTTAATAAGGCAAGATTAGGTTACGTTAAAGAGGATGATGGTGGGATGCAACACCCTTATTCAGGTCACACCCCTGATCCAATGTAAAGGGAGATTTCCTGGAGTGTGTCTTGCATCACCTTCTGTCTTACAAGAGATAAAAGGAGAGAGAAGGAAGCAGAGAGATAAGGACCTCATTACCACCAAGCAAGAAGAGCCAGGAGCAGAGCGCTTCCCTTGGACCCAGGGTCCCTGTGCTAAGAAGCTCCCAGACCAGGGGAAGACTGATGACAAGGAACTTCCCCCAAAGCCAACAGAGAGAGAAAGCCTTCCCTTGGAGCTGGCACCCTGAATTTGGACTTCTAATCTCCTAAACTGTGAGAGAATGAATTTCTGTTTGTTAAAGCCATCCACTTGTGGTATTTCTGTTATTGCAGCACTAGATAACTAAGACAGATGGAGAGACTTTGTCTCGCTTACTTTGGACATGTCATTAGGAGGGACCAATAGCTGCAGAAAGACATCATGCTTGGTAGAGGGTCAGCAAAAAAAGAGATCTTCAACAAGATGGATTGACAAAGTGGCTGCAACAACGGGCTCAAATATAGCAATGATTGTGAAGATGGTGCAGGACCAGGCAATAGTTCTTTCTGTTATACATAAGGTTGCTATTAGTTGGAGCCGAGTCGACAGCACCTAACAATAACAGCAAGCTTCTAGAACTGTGACAGAATAAATTTCTGTTGTTTTAAGCCACCCAGTTTGTGGTACTTTGTTATGGCAGCCTGAAGGAACTAATGCAAATCCTTAACTAAGGAAAACTGACACAGCAATTCTTTGGCGTATTTAGAATGAAAAATACAGCTTTACCATAATTTAAAAAAATCAACCACAAAACATCATGTAAAATTTATAATCGTTTTGGTTTATAAGTCAATAAATGGAAAATCATTTAAGCAATGGATCCTAATAATATACAACCTCAAAAGGAAACAGAATGAGAACCAACTACAGAATCCTTCACACTGAACATATTACAGTAAGTTGTGGCATTCTAGTGTACAACTAAAACAATACAAACTAACCGAATAGAGTGAAATAAATTGTCTGAGTTGGCAAAAGTGTATTGAGATAGTCAAGATCACCAAGATTTACTGATAAAAGTCCCTTATATTATATAACTACGTAACTGCCTCCCTCTCGTTCACTTTCTCCATCCTTAGTCTTTGTACTTCAACATTCTGTGAAACGTTTTTGTGCTAAAGTGTCAATGGTATAGGTGGACTTTTTTGTCTGTCAATGATCTACAATTTCAGCAAGGAACATCACACCTCATTCCATCAGGGCACCTCATCTGTTCACAACTGGTCCACTGAAGGTCTCACAAGCAAGTGAGCTGAGTGACAAAAGCAATATTTATAGTTCAATTGTCCTAAGCCAATTTGTAGAATCCTGTTCCAGTTTTAGGACAGCATCATGATCCCAGTCATCTCATAAATAATTCAGTTTTATTTATTCATAGATGAAGCAAATCCTCCCCCACATATCCATTTTGATCCATTCCATCAGGGCCATGGTCAAAAAATTCTTGGTGCCACTAAAAATTCTTTTTCCCACATAGGGGCATCTCTAGCTACATCATATTTCCATCATCCTGATTACCTCCAATGACAAGGAAAAACTTTTATAAATATTTTAGATAACTGTTCCTATTTCATTAGCAGAGGCAATTTAAACTAATTCTCAACTTCACTTCATGAGGATATATTTCTATTTGTAATTCATACCCCTGATTACTTAAAGCACTTATTTTACATTTAAAAATTTTAACACATAATTTTGCCTATTAAAAAATCCTTAAGACTTTTAAATAGGAAACTGGTGTTAAAACATTTATAGCCCTCAGGGAATAGCTGGATGCACATGATTCTTGCAAAAAACCTGTAACATACTAAGCCTGTATTTAATCAAATCAGTAGTCATGATGATGAATGAAAGGTAATTCATAAAAATGTATAAGACCACAATTTATCAACATTGTCTTTTTTTCCACACTTAATTAGAACACAAAATTGATCAAGGATAATCAAGTTGAGTATAAATTAAATGAAGCTCCAATTACATATTATTTTCGTGCTATTCAATTAGCTTTTATTCATCTTGTTCTTCCTCTACCTACTCCTTCCCAGCAAATTAAATATCCAAGAATCCATGTGCAAAATAGGAAACCCTTGGATCAGTATGACATAACTAGCTCATTTTTAAAAGATGCTTTTGATAGATGACTTTTCCTTACCACATAGAAACTAGCAATTACTGAAAATATCATCAAACACTGGCATGGCTATTAAGTACATAATTAAAAAAATCATTTTACCTGTTGATCAATTGTACAAGTTACATTTCATCAGAACTTACTATTCCCATAAACACTGTCAAGGATTCTTTAAAAATCAACCTGCAGCATGTTTCTAGACTTTAGCAACTTAAAGATTATGATTGTGTCTTCAATATACATAGTTCATATTTGGAAACATCTCTGAAAATATCAGTACATTGAATTTATGGGCATACACAAGAATTAGACATGCAAGCTCCGTAGAAAAACAGAATTTTAGGACACTGAGAAGGAAAAAAGACCAATAGGAAACAGTCTAAAGTGTATCATACAGTTCTGTTATTGCTCCAACCTCTGTTTGTTATTTGTTTCTCCACTGGTAGGAAAGTCTTGGGCTGGGTGAATCACTTGGTTGAAAGTTCATCTACTAGAATAAATGGATAATCAGAAGGCGACACAGGAGAGTTCGTGAGAGTGCTGATTTTGGCTGGTGAATTACAAGAAGATCCAGCACTGCTGCTGTTTCTATCAAGAATATCCGAAGATAGACTAGGAGAAGAAAATGCCACGCATTGATAACAGAATTCATGAGATCTCTATGTGCACTTTGCTTTGTCTACATATGGATGCAAAACACTCACTGTACTTCCCATTTAGATTATTAAGACATGCTTTCTTAGGCACACTTCTCAATAATACTCTCAGCCTAACAGAAGTAGACAAAAATCCAAAGTGGAAAAGATGGGCAGAAAACTTTCTTTCCAAGCACACATTTTTATGTATTTCTCCAAGACCTTTTTAATCTATTGTCAAAACCACACTTCTAAAATGTATCCACCACATATCAATGTCACACATACATGTAAGAGAGAACTAAAGTTAACTGTGTCTGTTTGGGATTAGTTTTATAACTTCTAAAAAAATTCAGTAACGTACCTTACTTCTGAAGATATACAATGGTCAAAGTAAACTTAAAAACCAAGTGGAAAATGGCCAATGAATGTTTAAAGCCTCATGTTAATACTCACTACGCATTCTTATCTGGCAGTTGGGTAGTGTCAAAAGAAAGCGTGTTGGTCGTGCCTTGGAAAAATCTCTTTGGCTGATCTTCAAGTGCCATTTCACCTATGACAAAATAGTAGTTCAAGGTAGATATGTTTTAAAAACATGTTTATTATGCCTTTTTACTGTAAAAATAATACTTGCTCATTGCAATTAATTTATAAAACAGAAAAACAGAAAGAAAAAAATTTAAATCACCATTATCCAGCAATAACTACTCTTTATAAATTCCTGAATATGTGTGTGTATACATGATTGTTTTTTAAACAAAACTGGGTTCATATTGTATATAATACCAATAAGTAATCTACTTTCTGTTTTTAAAGATTAGCATTTTCTCATATTATTAACTATTACTCTACAATGTGATTTTATAGGTAATAAGGCTTACCATAATTTAATCTCATTCCTTGTTTTAAATCTTTAGGTTGTTGCTACCTGCTACCTTTATTTTGTTATTAGATATAACACACAATAAACTAAATACAGAAATTATTTTATAGAACACAATGAACAAAATATATTTTAAAAATTAAGGAGAAACATCTAATCTCAAAAAATTGTGTTGCTATAATCTTCACTTTGAAATAAATGTTAAAACCTGTACAATGTTTCACATTCATATTAACTAATGCTTGGAGGTGAGAAAAACTGACATTCAAGCCCATAACTTCTAGGTGGAATATATTTGGAGGAAAGAACACTAAAGTTACCTTCCCTTTGAAAAATTATCCCCAGAGATAGACTCCACAGACCTTCCTTAGGAATGTAATCAAGCCTCATGAAGCTCAAAAGAGGTCTGTTATCCTGTCGCTTGTCAGACTACACTTAACAGCATTACAGAAAAACTACTCATCTCTCCTTTTTGGTTTCAGTTAAAAACAAAACTAATCAAAACAAAATTATCAGAGAATAAAATTAAAATTTTCTTTGTTAAGTCCAGTATTACTCATAAAACAATATTTGCACCTGGTCAATTTCTGCAGATTTCTCAGAATTCCTGCTTTTGCTCTTCCTTGTTCCTAATGGAAGTCACTGCTGGTTATCACCATAATGCATTCACATGGTTGGAGACTCTTCATCTCACACTCTCCTCCACACTCACAAACACACACACACACACACACACACACACACACACACACACACACACACACACCCCACACACGTGCCCCTGAGTCATGGTGACACCATGTAAAAGGGATCAGACCATTGTGATGCATAGGATTTTCACTGGCTGATTTTCAGAAGTAGATCACCAGGCCTTTCTTCCTAGTCCATTTTAGTCTGGAAGTTTAGCTGAAGTTTGTTCAGCATCATAGCAACACTCATGCCTCCACTGACAGACAGGTAGTGGCTGCACATGCGGTACATTGGCAGGGAATCGAACCTGAGTCTCCCACATGGAAGGCGAGAATTCTGCCACTGAATGCCTCATATCTTTCACTTTACAGAGTCCTGATTCTATTTAATTTTTCCCCCTCATGACCTCTTTTTGATTTTTATACCATCTTTCCCCACATTTTATTTGTATTAATAGGCCACAAGTAGCACACAGTTTGTTGTTTCACACAGGAATATTCATATCCCAAAATATAAAAATTAAATTATTGTTATTGCATTTGGCCAAGATGAATTTTGACCAAATTTGTATAGGGTTGTTTGAGAGGGTCTGGCTTAAAATATAGACTATGTGGTACATACAGAATTTGCTTTAGAGTTCCCTTAGGGATACCTCAAAGAAATAAGGTAGTCATCCTCCAAAGCAGATGAAAACCAGGTACAAAAGTCTTGTGTGGCTATCAGAGACATGTCACACCCACTAAGACACTGCATGCAGAAACCAAGTCTATTTTGTCAACACTGAAATATAAAAGCAATTTTTAAAATCATAAATTCTAAGATAATTCCAGGTACTGTCAATATGATAAAACATATTATGTGTAAATGTCTTAAAAGGAGAACTATTTTAATTTGGTAAAACACTACCTTCATTTTAAGCATCCCCAAAACCAAAACCAAACCCGCTGCTGTTGAGTCAAGTCCAACTCATAGCAGCTCTATATGACAGAGTAGAACTGCCCCATAGGGTTTCCAAGGCTGTGATCTTTATGGAAGCAGAGTGCCACATCTTTCTGCCCGAGAGCGACTGGTGGGTTTGAACTGGCAACCTTTTTGAAAGGTTAGAAGCTGAGTGCTTTAACCACTGCACTACCAGGGCACCTTCAATTTAAGCATACTTTATGTTAAATACTCAAGTGATTCCAACTTCCTAACAGCTCTTAAACTGAAATGTTGATGTGCTTTCTGAATGTGTTTTTCAGCATTAGCCTAAACATCACAGCACAGGCAAAAAAACCCTTAAGCTTACTCATCGATGCATTGTCATAAAACAATGTGCTTGGTTTGGAAAAGAATGTTTTTCAGAATTTATCTAGTCTTAAATAGTCTTAGAGTATAATAAGTGCATGCTAGATTAGGTATGTTGTTAGGGAGATTGCTATTAATTAATCTAAAACATACGCAACACGTAAGTATATTTCAGTTTCTTTCCCTATAGTTTTGCTCTTCCTTCTTCCTCTTTCCCAACTTAATGGATTTTTCCACAAATACACATTTTTAAACTTCAATCTCCTTTCCTATTTACCATTTCCCACTTCCCATTAGAGTTAATTTCAGTAAGATGAAATGCTTTTAGTAACTTATCAAATGTATTGTCAATCAATTAATTCTTAAAAAAACTAATTTTTGGATAACACTTGATTTTATAAAAATAATTAACAATTATATTTATTTCTGCTGGTAGATAAAAGTACCTTTTCTTTTTAATGGTCCAAGGACACTTGGTCTAATACTGCTGATGGGGCTTTGGCTTCTAAAAAAAATCATCATGATCATTACAAGAAAAAATTCGAACAACAAGAGCAGCTACAACTATTTCATTATAACAGATCTAAGGACATATACTAAAAGAAGACCCTTTGTATAGTGCACATCACATTCTTGTATTGCTTTTCGCTAAATATGGATAAAAACAGGAATGACTTAGGGGCAAACTACCTTCTAATTCATAAAGGCTCAGGATTTTGCTAAGCTGTGGCCAAACATCTAGAAAGACCTGCAGTCCTGGCTGTGACCTGCCTTGAATCAAGGTGAGACTCATGGATGGACAAAAGGGTACAGTTGCTTACAATTCTAGAGATAGTTCTGATTCTTATCAACAAGCTTACGCCACAAAGAGGGAGACTGTGCTCAAACAAGATACAGGAATTACTGAATTCCTCACAGGTTCTCACAAGTTCTTAGTCACTTGACTTTTTTCAATTAAAAAAACAATAAACCAAAACAGTGATATTTTAATTTAGTTAAAAAAGAAAGAAAGAAATTACTACTTTTTATAAGCAATTTTGTATTTCTAGATAATATAAACTTACGTTGTAAATCGTTGTGTAGGATGGGGAATAGGATTTGGAGGCAAACTGTTGCAACTCACAAAAGTTTGTAAAGACGGAGAAAAACACTGCTAAAACCAAATTGGAAAAGAGGTTTTAAAACTGCTGCTTTTCTCGGAAAACAGATCTGTGGTTTCCCAGGGTGGGTGGGGTTGGAGGGAGGTAGGAGATGGGGTGCAAAAGATCACGAGGAAGTTGTTTAGGGTGAGGGAACTGTTTCATATCTTGATTATGGTTGTGGTTATGTGATTATATACAATTACCAAAATTAATCAAACCATATACTTAAAATTAGTGGATTTAATTTTATGTAAAAAATACTTTAAGAAATGAAAAAGAAGGGAAAACTATCACTTATAATCAGTTTTACTATAGCAAAATTGTTGGTGTTAGTTGCAGTTGAGTCAATTCCGACTCATGGTGACCCCATGTATGCAGAGTAGAACTACTCCATAGGGTTTTCAAGGCGGTGACCTTTCAGAAGCAGATCGCCAGATTTGTCTTCAAAGGTGCTTCTGGGTAGGTTTGAACTGCCAAACTGTTGGTTAGTAGTCAAGTTCTTAACGTTTGCACCACCCAGGGACTCCATAACAAACTATACCCCCCAAAAAGATTTGAGTGTTGAATCATTAATGTTTCATAAATATTTCAAGAAAAAAGACTTTTAGGCAGTCCTTTCTTACCTGCCCAATCCCCCCTGAGGGAGAAGATACTGAGGGTACTGGAATTAAACCAACGTGATTCAGAGAGGATGGTGTCTCTAAATTGTCGTCACTCTGTGTTAAGCAGAAAACAGTATATAATGATAGCAGCAACTGCTTACTAATCAAATACTTAGGGAGACAGCTGTTGCCTGGGGAAGAGGCCCTTACTACTGAGTCCCCGGTTGTCACATGGTGAGGCGTTCTCACCATCCTAAAGCAAGCATGGACCCGAAGTTCCACTTCAAGAAGAAAAGGTATCTTTGGGGGGAAAAGAGCTACATGGAGGTTAAGAAGCTTCTCTAGCACCCCAGAAAGACCTAAAATGTGAGTACTCAATATTGAGCAAGAGCTGCTATACACATTAACCCTAAATTTAAGCTTTTCTCTTCGGGTTTGACCTGTGCTTTGTTACTGAAAACTAAAACACTATATCTAGCAAAGGACCAACAAGGATTTGGCCAAAACTAAGGTACAAATGGGACAGCAGGAATAACTACAGCTATGAAAAAGTTTTTATAGATTTTATATAGACAAAATCAGTACTCTTTTCTTTTCCAAGACACAAGCAAAGTTAAACTTGCATATTACGTGTTCCTTTCCTCCTCCTAATACATGCAGCTCTCTCATTCACTCACTCATGCCAACGCTAACGTAATTAGAATTGGCTCAGCTCAGGGAATTCAACAGCAGCTATAAAGTGTATTAGCGCCAGAACATGACAAGTGACAGGCTCCAGAGGTTATCTACTCATTCTTTAGGATCTAAATCAGGGCTAGATGACCATCTAAGGCATTCAGGGCTCAAAGGAAAAGAAGATGCCACTGCTTCTGCTTATGACCTAGTTCCTTATTGACTAATTCCCAAATCTGGAAAGTGACATCTAACCAGAATCTTTCCTACTCAAATTTCAGTTCAATTCTTCTTGTTCTGTCATTATCTGAGATGCCTATGGAAAAGAATACTAACCATCGTTCAACAACCACAACAGATGAACCATAATGTATACCCATCAACATTAAAGAAAGTTAGCAAGGGATACAACTAAATTCTAAATACGCTGAAATTGAAGGTTGTATGTTAAATGTTGATGGGAGTATATGTGTTACAGACATAAAATGCAGTATTTTTTCCAATAAAACTATCATCTGTGGTTTAAAACTCTAATATACAGTTGATAAATTATGTAGAGGGGAGTGAAATCATTTGTTGTTTTGTCATCTAAGCATTTTAACCAATACTACTGAACTCTTTTCAGGCTCACTAGGACATTGGGGAAGCTAGTACACCACAGTGATGGTGAACCCCACTTATAAACAATGATAGTAATTTTTATGGGTAAATCATAAACTGTTTCTTAGGAAGCAATCAAAATTATGCAGCAGATACAATCTTAGTTTCAAATGAGAACTCAGATTTCTACAAATTACAGCAAAACTAGGTAACAGCAACATGGCAAGTCGGCAAAAATTTCAAATTTTCTACAAAATTGAAGTGTTACTATCATACCAGGTTCAAATTTTCTTCCCCAAATTGATCTATCTGGATTGCAGCTTGTATCTCCCTAGAAAAGCAAAGAAATCACAACTGCAGTTTGCTTACATAAAAGAAAAGATATATTTGATATATTTGAATATATAAATAATCAAAATATTAATGCAAAGTACAGTACTCACCGTTCACAGATTGTTTCTCTATTTATCAAATCCATGTTTTCTTCCTGAAAGGGAGGAAATGAGAATAAACTGAATACCCAGTTCCAGTGGTTTTACAAAGGTTGATTTCATTTGGGTGCACCTTTATTGTTATTCACTGGACTATAGAAGAGATAGGAGCCCTGGTGGCACAATTGTTAAGCACTCAGCTGCTAACTGAAAGGGTGGCAGTTTGAACCCATCAGCGGCTCCAAGGGAGAAAAGACCTGGTGAATTGCTCTCGTAAAGATTACAGCCTAGGAAACCCTACGGGGCAGCTCTACTCTGTCCCATACAGTCGCTATGATTCAGAATCGACTCAGTGGCACAGAACAATAGAAGACATGGAGTATAAATGAACTCTAAACAAATGTCTGAGCCTCTACTTTTCATTGTTGCACCAACTGCCAACCCAAAAGATGTTGCACTTAGGCATCATAGCACATGAGGTATGCAGGAACCGATTAGATGAAGGACTCTGGCCTTTCTGCATTCAAAAGAGAAAACATCAAATATTCAAAATTATACTGTTTTCCTTTCATTAACACCATGACATCAATAAACATTACTCACAGTCCAAAACAAACTTAATGTCTATCAGTATGAGTTTGCTTAAGTAAATGATAGTACAAACATGGTTTAAATCTATAGTTTAATGCATTACGTAAGTGGGAAAAACCAGATTCAGTTTATATAAAATTTTTGTGTATGCATACACGCATACATGTCTGCACACACACACACACACACACACACATACAACAAAGGTGTTCAGAAAGATGTTCAGCAAAAAGTTAGTAGCAGTTATCAATTAATAGTGAGATTTGGGGTAATTTGTTCTTTCTTTCTTTGTACTTTATGACATTTTCTGACTTTTTTATAACAGGCAGTATCATTTTTCATAAACATAGTTATTTTAAAAAATAACCCACAATCCAAATTCCTCATCCTGGCATTCTTAAAAACATATTTCACACGTAACAAAATATCTAGGATAGTGCTGGCCAAGTAGTAGGTGCTCAATATTGCAGGGAACGTACAAGAAGCAGAGAAGCTAGTCCTTTCCTTAGAGCGGTCTACAATCATATTTGAGAGACAGCTTTATATTCATTAAGTCAGTGCTCTCCAAAGTAAGAATGATCGCACCCCAGGGGTGCAGAGAAAGATCTGCTGAGCAGAAAGAAAAAAATAGAAATCCGATTTATTTTTTTAATCTAAGACAGAAAGAAATGAAGGTCTACTAGTAGAGATCCAGACTGACAGAGGTGCCTTTACTCAGCCTACAGTGTCTGGAGGGCTTCTGAGGGGAGAGTATTTTACCTGTGTCAAGTTAGCTGGGTATACAGATATACTATCTAGTTTTTTGGGTTTTTTTGTGCTTTAGATGAAAGTTTACAGAGCAAATCAGTTTCTCATTAAACAATTAATACGTATATTGTTTTGTGACATTGGTTGCCAACCTTATGACATGTCACACTCTCCCCTTCTTGACCAGCTTTCCTGTCTTCTCCTGCCTTTTTGTTCTTGCCCCTGGGCTGGTGTGCCCATTTAGTCTCATTTTGTTTTATGGGCCAGTCTAATCTTTGGTTAAAAGGTGAACCTCAGAAATGACTTCATTAGTATGGTAAAATGGTGTCTAGGGGCCACACTCTCGGGGTTTCTTCAGTCTCTCAGACCAGTAAGTCTGGTCTTTTTTTTGTGTGCGTGTGTTAGAATTTTGTTCTACATTTTTCTCCAGCTCTGTCTGGGACGCTATATTGTGACCCCTGTCAGAGCAGTCGGTGGTGGTAGCCAGGTATTATCTAGTTTTAACTAAACCAATCCCCACAAAATGGACAAGTGCCTTAACAAGAGTCCTACAAAGAAACCCTGGATAGAAGGTAATCCTGGTAACACAAGCCTAAGCAACCAACAGGAAAAAGGCAAAGGTACAGCTTGTGCTACTCCTAGCCCTGCTCATCCTCTACCACATTTCTGTGAAAATACACGGCTGAGCTAATCTGATCAAGCAAGAAGAAGGCTTCAATTATTTTAAATTATCAAGCTATTAGAAATATAAATTCACATTCACTAGCATTAAGGACCTAGAGTTAATAAAACTTGAAAATTTCTAAAAACATCATTTCATCCTTTTTCTATTTTTATTTTGTATATATTACATGGTTCTCTCATAATATACCAACACCAGAGTATATCTCCATAATGTATATGTAAATACAGTATGCATATATTTGGCACATGCTCAAATACTTTTTACTATAGACACATCCAAACTCCCTGAGGGACTGAATTGCTGGGCAGAGGGCTGTGGAGACCATGGTCTCAGGGAACATCTAGCTCAACTGGCATAACACAGTTTATAAAGAAAATGTTCTACATTCTACCTTGGTGAGTAGCGTCTGGGGTCTTAAAAGCCTGTGAGCAGCCATCTAAGATACTCCACTGGTCTCAGCCCTTCGGGAGCAAGGGAGAATGAAGAGAACAGGATACAAGAAAAAGATTAGTCCAAAGGACTAATGGGCCACAGCTACCAAGGCCTCCACCAGACTGAGTCTAGTACAGCTAGATGGTGCCCGGCTACCACCACTGACTGCTCTGACCGGGATCACAACAGAGGGGTCTGGACAGAGCTGGAGAAGGATGTAGAGCATAATTCTAACTCACAAAAAAAAAGACCAGATTTACTGGCCTAAAGGAGACTGGAGAAACCCCAAGAGTACGGCCCCCAGACACCCTTTTAGCTCAGTGGTGAAGTCACTCCCGAGGTTCCTTGTTCAGCCAGGGATTGGACAGCCCCATAAAACAAAACAGGACTAATGAGGCACAATAGTCCAGGGACAAGGACTAGAAGACAGGAGGGGACAAGAAAGCTGGTGATAGGGAACCCAAGGTTGAGAAGGGACAGTGTTGACATGTCGTGGGGTTGTTAACCATTGTCATAAAACAATACGTGTACTAACTGTTTAATGAGAAACTATTTGTTCTGTAAACATTTATGTAAAGTACAAATATATACATATATATATAGTAAAAAAACAAATATTTTTTATTTTTTACTGGTGGAGTGTGTGATCAAAAGATTTTAAAGATTATTGTTTATATATAGACAATAAATGTTATGAGTAGTCAGTAATGGAAGAGTAGTATAAGTTGTGTGAAAGAATTAAAATTTGCCCCGGGCCTTGAAAGATGGTGGAGGGAGGGTAGTCCTAGCAGAAGGAATCATGAAGAAAAGTTTAGAGGAGGGAAAGAACATGGCAGGTTGGTGGGGTGGCGGGGAGAGGGCAGTGAGACTAGCTTGGCTGAAATAGAGCTTGTGCTGTGGAATAATGAGAGATAAAACTGGAGCAGTAAGACACAGCCAGACTTATCGAGTCTTGAATAATTAAAGAGTTTGAGCTTAAAGAGTTTGGGTGGAATAGCATAGTTGTTAGGACCACAGGTTTTGGAGCCAAACAAAACTGAACTGAATGCCAGCTCTGAAACTTACTATTTGTACAACCTTGCACAAGCAACTTAACCTCTGAAGAGCCTTGGTTTCTTCATTCATAAAATGAGGAGAATACGGTGGCTGAACAGTTCTTATCATAGTGCCTGGCACATAGCAAGTACTCAATACATATTATTCTTGTTATTCTTCTTATTATTCAATAAGTAATGGGAAGCTACTGTAGTAACTTTTTGTGCAGGAGGTGAAAATGTTTTAGAAAAGTTATCTGGGTGTTGGTTGTGGACGTCAGATTAGAAGGGGAGAGACAGGAAATCTATTAGGATATGATTACAGTAATCTGGACCCATGGGACAGAAGAAGGAAGTGGCAGAGGGAACAGAGAGCATGTTGTCAAAGAAGAATTAATAGGATCAGGTGCCTAACTGGATACAGTAGAAAAATAAGGAAGAATTAAAGATGAACCTAGAGCTTTGAGCCTGACAACTCTATGACTGTGATGATTTTGATGCTATTGAGGAAAATGGGAAAGGTAGTTTAAGAAGTTAATCAGTCTTTTAAAACAATGGAATCACAATACATCTTTTCAGCAAAATGTAGTTTTTCTTGCATTCAGTTCTTTTGGGTATATACCTAGGAGTGGAATTGCTGAGTCATATGGCAAGTCTGTGTTTAACTTTTACAGGATCCGCCAGATTGTTTGACACAGTAAAACCTGCAAAAACCAAACCCATTGCCATCGAGTCGATTCCGAGTCACAGCGACCCTAGCTGCTAAAAAAGGTATTTTTGAGAATTAGGAAAAATTTAATATGGACTGGTTATTAGATGATATTAAGGAATAACTGTTAATTTTGTTAGCTGTAATGATGGCATTGTGGTTATGTTTTAAAAAAAAAAGTCCTTCTCAGGGATTCATACTGAGTATTTATGAGTAGAAAGATTTACTTTAAAGCACCCCCCTCCCAAAAAAATAGAAGGGGGTAGATGAAAAATGATACATGAAATGTGGCTCATTGTTGAAGCGGGGTGTTGGGTACATGGAGGATCTACTTTGTGTATGTTTTTAAATTTCCAAATAAAAGATTTTTTTTAATGCAGTGTGCCAGGCACTGTTCTAAGCACTGCGCATATATTAACTCTTTTCATCCTCACAACTACCTTCTGGGGTAGCTACTGTTATTTCCCCCATTTTACTTAAAAATTAAATAAAAGTCTTTATCAATATTGTTAAAGAGCCCTGGTTTCGCAGTGGTTAAAGAACTTGGCTGCTAAATGAAAGGCCGGTGGTTGGAGCCCACCAGCTGCTCCGAGGGAGAAAGATGTGGCGGTCTGCTTCCATAAAGATTACAACCTTAGAAACCCTATGGGGCACTTCTACTATCTTATGGGGTCGCAACGGATTGGAATCGACTGATGGCAATGGGTTTGGTTTTTCATTATTAATGTTGTTAAAGTGAAAAAGCAGAATGTAATGGGGAGATGAGCAGACATTTCTGTTTTGCACTTAAAAGGTTAAGTTCAATATCTAAAAAGAAGTCATGGTTAAAGAATGTGTGTAAAGAAATAAGCAACTTTA